CAAGTGCACTCCTTCTAGTTTGCAAAACGTTGGAGGATCTCAGGAAGAAGTCCCTCTTTGTACACATGTGGGTTGCCGGGTGTGTTGTGCATGTGTACATCTCAGGCAGCATTTGAAGAAGTGTTTTCATAATGTTTAGAACTCCTTGTTCCCAAGTCCAGCTGTCTCCTTGGGATTAGGTGGGTGGGTTCGCTCGTTGCTTTTGTTCTGTTCGATTTTATGATTTAGAGGAACAGCTGCAGGCAACGTGGTCTGCACTCATCCCTTCTTTCTCAAGAGCCTGCCGAGACTGATGGTGGGGAAGGAGTGGGGCGGGTGGCAGAGAGAGCAAAGGGAAGAGGAGAGAATAGCAATAAGTTCGTGTCTGGAAGACTCAAAGAGCCTGATCTTATCACCAGCACATTTCTGAACCGCATAATTGGCAGGGCAAGGACCAGCATTTCTGCCAGGGTTTGGAGCGAAGGGGATGGAGGAAAAGGGCTGGTTAAACATGGTGTTCATGAGAAAAAGGGCTCACGTTCCTCATTGTATTTTGTGGGACACAGCATAATTACTACATCATTTCCATAAGGAATATGAATGCAAGGATTTGGCCAGTGGCCTTGTACTAGAGTAAAACTTTGCAGCATTTTGTGAATTTCGTGGCTTAACAACAACAAAAACCCTACCCCATGGACTATCATTTCTCTTCCATCCTTCTTTTACCAATGTTATGTTCCTTCTAAAGCATCAGGTCGGTTCCCTGTGGCTACTGTGTGCATGAGACCTTATTGTATTGTTCCCCCCCCCACCCCCAACATTTGATTTCTAAAGATTTTTATATATGTAAATCTGGAGCTTCTCCAAAACATTCTGAAATTCCTCCTACAGTGTGTAAGTGGCATCATTTTTTTGGTTTTATTGGAATCCACAGCAGGAAAATAAAGAATAGGGGGAATGTTTCTGCTTCTTTGTTCTATATGTAAAAATTGAGTCAACTTTTCCAAAAATGTGGGATATCTGGTTGATATCTTTTTCCATATAAGTTTCCTCAGCATCTCCAGGCTTGCATCCGGATGAACAGATAAACATGGTAGATTTATTTATTTATTTGACCTATTTTTTTCTCCTTCTCCAATAATACTAATACTAATAATAATTGTTATTGCTATTATTTATTAAACCTGTATGCCATCCAACTCTCAACGACTCACTTCATCTGTTCATGGCTGCTCCATTCAGCCTTTAATGCTAAACAATATATCGCTATCATGACTGGTAATCAACACAGGGTAATGTTAGTAGTACTAGTTGTACACTATACTTTATTTTGGTCACTGGCCAGCCTTAAATAACATAAAACGTAGGAATAGAAAAAAACAAGCTTAAAAGATAAAAAAAATAAAACGAATTGCAATATGAGAAAGAGAAATTGAGCACAGCCAGCAGAGGTTCAAGTAAACCACTTCAAATACTGAGACCATTAGCACTAAGGCTTCAGTGAAGAGACCATCATAGATCATAACAGATAAACAGGAGAATTAACAGCTATTGTTATTATTAAACTTGGAGCATGTTTAATCAAACCAAAAGTGTTTCTAGTGAGGTCTTGTCAAATCTTGCTGGTTATTAAACAGAGCTTGATGACTTTCTTATAATGTGTCATTCTGGTCAGCTAAAAGATCATTGAGATAAAAAGAGTCAACATGGCCTGGGTATGGGATTAAGGAAGGTGTCATAAATTTGTGTTGTAGATCTTGACAAGGCTGAAAGTAATGGTTCCTGACTTACAATGACAAGGGCATTCACTGCATGGGATTTTCTGGAATCTCCCTCCCAAGATGCAATTTGGAGAACATTGGGTAATGTTATATTCCAGGAATTTGTTGACATGCTTTTTCAAGCCTTCCAAGTTGCTGAGGAGCCCTGTATCCTGTGGAAGTGGCTTCCATATGTTTACTGTGGGTGTTCCATGAAATCTTCAGCCTTGCCCCGAATATTCAATCTAATAGCTTTGTTCCAGATGGCCCCTAGCTAGCCAGTGTGTTTGTGTGCAAGACCCCCCACCCAGCTCCTACTCTACCCCGTCCTTGTTCATGCCTTACCATGTCTGCTTTCTCCAGCAAGGAAAAATAGCTAAAACAACAGCACCCATCCATTAGGTGGGGAGAGCGAGAAAGCTATACTTTAAAGCAGGTAGGGAGGATGGGAGACGTATCACAGTACCATGGGTGCAGAAGGAAAGTGCAATTCCCACCAATGGGAAGACATTGCTGCATATATCTCCAAAGGAAACACAGCAAAATTGGCTTCACGCCATTTCCTCTGGCAGGAGAATGGAATGACAGTTCATCGGCTTACCATTGCAAATGACACAGAAGCGCTGTGGTATCACAGGGCTAGGGAAGCAGCATCAATTTCAATTTGGCATTTTCCCTGATCCTAGAAGGGGCCTCTGTGCTGTAGGAAAAACCTTAATTTTCTTTGTCCTGAATCTCTCATCGTTCAGCTTCATTTTAGCCTGCTCTCCTAGATTTGATACCATTTGAGTACTGAGCGTTTAGGAAGATTTTACGGAACAAAAGCGAACAAAGCTAGGACATGGAAACAGCGGCTTTCTTTTTCTGTGGAGCGGAGGATTTTACTGCTGTCCTAGTCTTTTTGGCCAGAAGTCATGAATATATGGGTGGGCTAGTTTGTGTGAGTGCGCGCACTGTTGTTTTCTTAGTGTCTAGCATAAGCTGAGAGTGAGAAGAAGTTAAAATTACAAGGGAAGGGAGAGTCCTGATAGGGATTCTTAATGAATGACAGAAGAATAACAAACCTTCTTACAGCTATAAAACCTTCTTTGATGTGAAGTTAGTGATAGTGGGGGCCTTTGGACTCTATGGGACAACGGCTAAGAGAAACCTATCTTCAGGAGATGTGCTTCAAAGCAATGCGGATGTTTGTTCTCTGAGGAAGAACATCCTAGGGATTAGTTGGACTTATCCAAAAGATAAGTAAATACCTTGTACTCTTGTGCAACATTTCATCTTCCTGTGATGCTACCCAAAGTGGGCAAGAAGGGATTTTTTTTCTTTTTTTACATATATAATTTTTTATTAAGGATTTTTTCAAGCAATAAACGACAAATCTAAAAGAAACAAAGAGAAGAAAGAATAAGAAATAAAGAGAAGAAAACAAACGTAGAAAACAAAAAGGAAAAAGAAAATTAGGAAGAAAAAGAATAACTAAGAGAACAAAAGTCAGCAAAACAAGTGACCTCCAACGTTCTTTGCAATAGAGATTAGCGAACTTATTATCCAACCTCCCTTCTTAATAATACAAAAATCCCTTAAGCCCTTTGTTTAGTCCTTTTTCAGTCATCAGATCCACAAATCATCACTTCGCTTTTCTCTATTTTCAGCAAAAAGTCTATAAAAGGTTTCCAGTCTTTAAAAAAGTTATTAATTGTTTTGTCCCTGACCCAGCAGGTCAGTTTTGCCATTTCTGACAATTCTGACCTCTTCACAACCCATTCCTCCATTGTGGGAATTTCAGTATTCCTCTACTGTTGTGCTTATAATAGTCTTGCTGCAGTTACCATGTATAAAATCAATCTTCCATGACATTAAACCTAGCAGAAAGCATAAGACTTGCCTGGTTGCTTATTTAAAAACAAGCAAAAAAGTTGTGCCAATGTATTTGGCAACTTGTTATTGAATTTCAATAGTGCAATCATAGAGGTCCAGGGAGCAAAAACAAGGGTTTGGGGGCTATGGGTGGTCCATAGCCTCCAAATTACAACCCATGGATATAGAGCCTGATTTGTGTATGTGTGTATGCACACGCGCAAGCCTTTTATTTTCTGTCACCAGTTGTGGTGATGAGCTGTTGACTTAGCAACTTTAAAAAAGGATTTTACCATTCCCTGGAGGACAGTGATAGAAGTCTCTACCAAGCACGTGATAATACGTTGCCTTCAAGTTGCCCTGCTTGTATGAGTGCATTTCTGGAAAACACAAGTCAGAGGATGTTTGGGCCAATATATGTTGCTTCTGGTCTTTGTAAAGTCAACTTACTGGCAACTGGGAGAGGGAAAACAGATCCTGAATTAATTTAGTCCAGTGGTTCCAAATCTGGAGAACTTTCAGATGGTTGGACTTCATCTCCTAGAATTTTCAGCAGTGGCCATGCTGGCCATGGAATTATGGTTGTTGAAACCCTTCTGGAGGGAATGCAGTTGGGGAAACTTGATTTAGTCTGAATAAAATCCAGCAGGACTTTTCTTATTGTTTCCTTTCTCCATCTTGGAAAAAAAGGACTGAAAAAAATCTGCTTCCATTACCAATTTGTCAGCAAATCGCAGGCATCCCTCTCATTTTGAAAGTAAATAATTTGGCAGGGGTGGAGTGGGGAGGAGAAGTCCTCATTTCAAGTAAGTTTTCAGGGTTTTTTTTTAATGGCAGATGTGTGTCAAGCACCAGAAAGAAGAGCATTTGGTTTCCCAAAAAGCTAAATTGATTCCTGCCTCCCTGAAAGAAAGGGGTGGGGTTGTAAACTTCCATTACTAAATAAGTTAAATATATCAGTGAAAAACTGAGAAACAGCTCACATATGGATGAGGCAAAGGAATTTGGAATAATTTGAAAGTGCTTGAATTCTACTATACATGTAGAATTAAACAAAAGATATATCAAATGCTGGGAGTTAAGATGTAACTCAGGTTTATGAATTAAAAAAAAAAATACCCCATTTCTTACCTTCTTTTAAAAGTTAATTATGTATGTTCACATTTGATAAAATATTCTCAGAAGCATGTGTGTAAATAAATAGGAAGGAGGTAAATGAATGAGGGATATACGAAGAGGAAAAATGTGGAACTTTATATGTTTATCCATGTATTAAAAAAGTAAAAAGAAAGAGTAGTAACCTTAAGAAAGTTTTTAACCCTTATCCTCAAGGATCCATCAAGAACAAAATTCACCTATTCCTTACTGCAACTTTTTATGTTTTTTTGTTTTTTTCTTATTTTCCAGAGACCTAAAGAACAATTTGATTAGCACAATCCAGCCTGGAGCTTTTCTGGGCCTCAAGGACCTGAAACGCTTGTAAGTAACAGCCTCAGCTTCTCCAGAACAGCCCAACTGGCCTATTTCAGCCCATTTCCTGCTTTTAATTCTTTACTCTGCAGGCTACCTTTCACACTTACACATGAATCCCATCTTTTTTTTCCTCATGGCTAAACCTCAGAGCCCAGGGCTGTTTCAAATAGCTTTAAGTAATCTGTAACCTGCCCATAACTCATAATGTCTAACTGTTTACTGTATGTGTCAGTTTCTTGATAATTTCAACAAAGATTCATGTGGCCACCATCTTCTGGGCCGGGTATTTATTTTTCCAAAAGGAAATGCAAAGCATCCTTGAAAAAAAAATAAAATCTATCCCTTAGTTCTCCACTGGTCCTCTAAGCCAGTTGCACTCCTTTAAGTGGCCATTTTTTTTCTTTTTTTAAAAAAGGTTCTGGGGATTTCATGGATATGTCCATACAGTTGTTTGGGCAACAATGCAAAAATGGTTTGCCATTTTTGTCTTTGGGGATTGTTGTTACTTTTCAGTCTAGCCTATAATCTCAGCATTTCTAGTGGTCTCCCGTCTAAATGCTGATCAGGTCTGATTCTGCTTAGCTTTTTGAGATTAACCAAGAACTAGATGCTGACACTTAGGTGGGCTCAGTGTACATTAAAGATGTACAAAGTGTTTCAGCCCAAGTCAGACTATCCTGTGTCAAGACTGGAATGTCCCACGAAGAGAAATCTAGTATACCCTTAATATCCATGGCTGTTCCCGGTCTATCCATGGCTCTCACCTTTTCTCATTGTTCTACAGGGATCTCTCCAACAACCGCATTGGCTGCCTCAACATCGGCCTCTTCCAGGGACTGTTCAGCCTTATCCGTCTGTGAGTATTTGATGGCAGTGGTGAAGGTATGGTGGACTTTGAGCCTCTGTACATCCGCTGGTGTCAGGAATCTTCACTTCTCAGATCAATCTTCCAAAATCTGGGTTCTCTCCAAAGGTGTGAACTTCAGCTTCCAGAATTCCCAGTTACCATGGCCAATGCTGACAGTTCTGAGAGCTGAAGTCCACATATCTGAAGACTGTTCAGGTTGGGGAAAACTGCGTCAAAGAATGTTGCTGAGCACCGATGCCAAAACCTGATGTTTTTGCTCTTCTTTCATTATCCCTTTTCAACTGAATTTTGTCAGAGGATCCTGAAATTTGAAAGAGGAAACTGGGTAGGGGGGGAGGGGGGAGGTACTTTAGATTAGGATCTATAGATTTATGAACTGCATACCAACAACTGTAGTCCCACTATGTCTTTCAATAAAAAAGCACATTCAATAAACGTTGGCTAATTCTACTTATCTATGTTCTTTAGACAAATTCTTAGACTTAGCTATCTATAGCTATTAGTCATGGTGGTGATATATCCTTAGGATAAAAGCAGTTGGTTGTTGGGGAGAACAGTAGAAAGAAGGTTATTGCTCTCACATCTGTCCTGGGCTTCTGGGGTTTTCTTAGATATCTGGCTGGCAATTGGAGAGGACAGGAAGGTGCTGGATGAGATCGCTCTTTGGTCTGATCCAAAAGATTTGGTCTCTTGTTTATTTTATAGTAATTTATTTTAGCATTTATATCCTGATACTTTCTGTGAAAAGTTCCTAGAGGGGCTTACAGAACAATAAAAGACAGATTGTCCCTGCCTTCAGGCTTCCTAATCGAGGACGAAATGGTACAGAAGGGACAAGGGATGGGAAGGGAACAAGAAGACGAGAGAGCTCAGGCATCACATGCAGTAATTCTGTTTTGTATTATATCCAGCTGTCATGGAAATGGGCAGCCTAGGGAGGCTCAGATAGAAACTCTCACCCTTAAGCAGATGGTCTTATTGCTCTTCTTTGCAAGCTCCTGATTGATCCTGTAGGAGAGGACTCCAGCCGGTAACAGCAGCAGCAGCAGCAGCAGGAATCAGACATTTTTATGCTTACCAATAAAAGAGAAGAAGGATTTTTATGCTTCTTCTGCTGTAGCTACTGTGCTTTCCCCCCAAAATACATTGAACCCCCTTTTGCATTCCTTTGTTCAGCAGTTGTTTGTTCAGCAGTTAATTTATGGAATCCATAGCCAAAAGATGAAATGAGGGCAACTGACTTTAATTATTTTAAAGCTATACCATCATTTGCTGTGATGGTTCCTGTAGAGCCCTGATATTCAGAGGCAGGGTGTCTCTAAGTACCAGTTGCAAAGAGGATAAGCCCTGCCAAGACTTTTCCCTGAAGCAGCTCTCTTGCCACTATGAACCTCACCTTAGGTAGGCCTCTTGGTCTGATCCCGTAAGTTTTATCTTATTTTGTTATCACCTCTTTGACAGGAATATATCAGGAAATATCTTCTCCACCCTCCAGAGTGGAGTCTTTGATGAGTTGCTGTCTCTGAAAGTTCTGTAAGTATTGTATGTTTGGTTGATCATAGAAGGGAGGAAGCAATTCAGTTCTTAAAGCGCTTAATGCTGGGGTTGGTGGGGCATGGCCAGCATAAGCTTTCTTTTGTCACCTTGAATAAACTCCCTTACAGTATGAGTGGATCCATTTTCCTATACGGTCTGCAACAAATTAGACCATTGTCCATCCAGTCCAGTCTCATCTATAACCTGGGGCCTTCTATGTTTTGAACTAAAGCTCAACTTCATGGTCCATGCAGCTTTATGGGAGTTACAGTCACAAACATGTGGAGGATAACTGATTGGAAAAGGCTGGGCTATATTGGACAGGTACAGGCAGGCGTGTTTAAATCTTCATAGACTCAGTTTCTTTCAAATTTAATACTTTAAACACTACCATGTTGAGTAGGACTTCAGAAGTGTTGGGGCCATAGTTCCCCAGAAGAGGTCTAACTGGGGAGAGCTATGTTAGGGCATTCCATGTTAGGGTAGCTCCTAAAATCAGGACTACCAAAAAAAGACAGTTATTGTCCCCTAGAATATCTTGTGAAATAGTTCTGTATTGTACATCGTGCTGTACAGGGAATTTTAACATGACAGGCAGCAGCGGTCAGGGATTCGGAACTGCATTCAAGCTGAATTTTCAGGATTCTGAAGGTCTAAGCAAACTACAAGATAGGGGATCAGTTTTGTAACTTTTTAATGTATTTTTCGTATGGGATTGCTTATTTTGATCCAGGAGTTAGTAACCAAAGGGGGGTAAGGGTTACCCCTTCTGTCATTATGTTTCTCTAATTTAAAAAAAAAAACATGTAGACAAACTGCTGGAAGATCTGGTAGAAGAAAAGACAATATTGTAAGTGGCTATCCCCCATGCCAAATAAATAACTTCCCCCTACTCTGTGTGTGTGTGTGTGAGAGAGAGAGAGAGAGAGAGGGAATGATTAGGGAAATGACACTCTGAGTAACCTTAATATCCTCTCTCTTAGTGCTGCTTCCCCAATCAAATTAGCAGCCCCAAAATAGATGTAAAACAAGCAATCTGGAACTTTGAAAGAAAAAAATATATATTCACAGATAGTCTGCATCATAAATAGCTGTGTTTCACCCCCATCCCAGGTTTGAAATTAGAAAGGCATCTGGGACTTTCTGCACGCAAAGCCTTGCTCAGCACACTGTCAGAAGTAGCATTCTCTCCCCTTCAAAGCCCCCTGGACAGCATAGACTAGAAATCTGAGCAACCAAGCCACCACCCAACTGTGGACAGCACTCCTCTGTGTTAACTGTGCTACCTCAAGATGCTAGACCTTTCCAGATATGTTTATTGGTGTCCAGGGGGACGGGCATCTCTTCCTGCTCTTTCCTGCATGAGTCTTCCTCACCTGCACTTACTCCTCGCTTTGCACCTCTCTCCTTCTCCAGTGACTTTGCCACTGAATACCTGACCTGTGACTGCCATGTGCGCTGGGTCCCAGTCTGGTTCAAAAGCCGTTCTGTCCAGATATCTGATAAGACGGTGTGTGTCTACCCCAGCAGCCTACATGGGAAGCCACTGCAAAACATCAGAGAGAGCCAGCTGCGCTGTGGTGAGGCCTCTTCCTGAGTGAGTCTGAGTGGTGTGCAAGGGAGATTTGCAACAAAACGGTCCCCATGTTCAGTAGTCCAGTGGTACTTTTTCTAGGATACTCCATTTCATTCCTTCCATCTTCTACTCCATCCTTCATCCAACAGATGCTTGGCATTCTATTACCACTTAGCATGGATAATCCATGAAGGGAAGGAGTGGGTCAGCTGCAAACCTCTGCAACTGATAATCCCCTCAACGTTCCAGTTTTGATTACTGAACTATCATAGCTCAACATGTAAAGCAGGTCTATTTCATTTTGCGATCCCAAGAGGACTTCAGAGCAGCTTACCAAACCCTCACCTCAACTCCCATGTCAAGCAAGGCAACATGATTACTCTGGGGTGCTTGCAGGGAAAATGTTCTGCATTCACCTTCTCTCAGTTGATGGAGTTCTTAAGTATGGCTCTTCAACAATTGTCTTTCCAACAGTGTAGTCTGAGTAGCTGGAACAACTTCACCATTCGTGATGGAAACAAGTTTTCCCTTGCTGGCAGGTGTTAGAAGCAGCAGAATCTTATCCAAATGGGCATTGCTCTAAAGTACAATCACCAAATGTCTTGCAAAATGTTCAGCAGACATGTAATAATGCTAGTGTAGCAGAAAAGCAGACGGCTGGCTGTAGAAGCATCTGGTCCTTGGGCCAGTCTGTACACATTCTGCAGTTTCATTATGACTGCATGCAGAATTTAGCAACCATTCTTCTTTTCAAAAAGAACTCAACCTAATGATATGAACATTTGCTAATGGAACAATTCCAGTTAGACATATAGACAAGCATACTGGGTATGTCCTTCTGGATGTATTTATTTCTTTTCTTTGAAGGGATGAGCATAACTGGCCTTGACTGCTGACCGAATGGACCTGTTGATTGGAATCTTTCTGTGACAAGGTCCAGAATTCAACTCATTTGGGCTTGCTTCTGTCCCTTCTAAAATCTAAGTCAGGTCTCTCTTTTTCCCACAGAAGGGTCCCCAGAGCTGCACACTCATCAGCTAATCCCCTCCCTGAGGCAAGTTGTCTTCCAAGGAGACCGACTCCCTTTCCAATGTACAGCCACCTACCTGGACAACAGCACACACATCCTCTGGTACCACAACCGCGCATTGGTGCAAGAAGATGAACCTAGTGGCATCATCTTAGAGGACAGCCTCGTTCATGATTGCACTTTAATCACAAGGTACTAGGGTGTGAGCTGAGTGGATCAGAGAGGGAAGAGTTCTCTCCCAGTTGTTTCCAGTTGTTGGTCTAGCAAAGCATGGCCATTGGGCAGCTTGATGTCCGCCAGCATGGCCATTGGACAAGTTGATGTTGACTAATGCCAGCAGGAACTAAGGTTTAAAAACAATGTCCTATCAATTCACATATAAGCAATGACTTCAGGCAGCAGGGATGGACATGTAACCATTTAGTTCATTTTGTAGTCAGGCTTGGCTTGATTCCAAGCAGAAGGAAGACTGCTGGCTGCCTTCTTAGCGGTGGCTTCCAGTTCCTGGACTTCCACCCAGGAAAACTTGCCCAGTGCCAACATTGCTATCTTTTCAGAACCTGGAAAAGATACGTTTATTCTTCCAGGCATTTGCAGATATTTAAATCCACTGTTCCTTTATTTTTGAACATATATGTTAGGGCAGTAAATAAATCTATTAACTAAATAATAACTTAGTGCATTTCCGTTCACTGCTTCATTTTGGAATTCTCTCTGGCCACTCCCCACAACCCGATAAATATGCGCTCCCCCCATTTTTTAAAAAAAATCCAGAAGCCATTACAAAGGATATATCTGTAGGTTTGGGCCACCTGTATGAAATTACATAGCCACATTACTTGAAAGCTAATAAATCTGTTCTGGATTGAACTCTTTCCTATTGGGACGCACAGCAGTTTGGATCAGGAACAGAAAAGCTCTTTTGGAAGAGGTGGAAACATGCTCCCTATAGCTCTCCTCACCTCCTTAAAGAAACCATGCCTTTTCCTGCACACACACGGTAATCATCCAGTTCCAGGAAATCAACAACTTGGTATGATGACGTTGTTGGCGCCTTCTAAATCAAATGCGTATATAGCTGGAATTATGTGGCTCCATGCGAGCCCAGGAGAAGGCAGGACCTCCTTCAGGAGGCACGGATGGGTGCAGCGGGCATGCCCACACCTGCCCCAAAGCCCCTGCTTCAGATCCCAGCGACTGCACATCCCTAATCCTGTGTGTAAAGAATGTGCTCTGCTGAGAGGAAAGATGGGTTGGGCTAGTCCTCCGTTCAAGGGCTTGATTGACCATCCAGCCCACGTCTTCTAAAAGCACTCTCTGTTTGCAGTGAGCTCATCTTGTCCAACATCCATGTCTCAGCTAGTGGAGAATGGGAGTGCACCATCTCCACTGCCCAGGGCAACGTTAGCAAGAAGGTGGAGATTGTTGTGCTGGAGACATCGGCCTCGTACTGCCCACCTGAGCGGGTTACCAACAACCGTGGAGACTTCAGGTAGGGGCCAAAGTGTGGCAGGCGCTGTTATCAGGAGCAGAAATGACAAAGTAGGAACTGGCTTCCTATGACTGTGGTTGGGTTCATGTTCCAGAATTCTACTCAACTAGTACAGGCTGATGTGAGGAAAAGCTGTCTTAACGTGCTGTGGTTTCGTTTTGCCCTGTTCCCTTTAAGTCTTCAGTTGCTGGAGAATCATTTTTCAAGAAAGGTAGGGTAGACATTTGAAATAAATGGTGACTTGCATAACAGATAAATGAGGGAAAGACGCAAGGTCTGGGAAACAAGAGTGTGAGGAACTGCTGTGGCCAAGAAACAAAAACTGAAGCTGAATATTTGGGGAGCAGCCAGTAAATCTGAGTCTGGCAAACCCAAATTTTCCTAATTCGTTGCAGCCCATGGAAAATGAGCAGTGAGGAGGAGATGGGATGAAGAGCCGTACAAACACTACAGAGTTTTGGCTTGTGTGTTTGCAGCACGAATTACACGCATGGAGAGCGTCACTGAAAACAGTGATGGCTATAAACTTAAAAAAAAAAAATGGTGGGGTCCTAGAGGCCAACGTTAGCGTTTCCACTCTTTCGTGTGCAAGGGGTTAAGTCTGGGACTGTGCAAATATTTGAAAGGGGCAATTGGTTCCAAGAGGCACATCTTCAAAGCACGGCCATGAAGTGTTTTTAACTGGCAGAGCAGCTGATCGAGGTAGAAGAGCATCTCTGCATGAGCTGAAGCACCTCATGAAGGCAGAGCAACCTCAGCCTACACAAGCCTACTCACAGCACCCTTTTTCCAGCAGGAATTGCTTGCATAAACTCAGTGGATCTTCTTCTCTTTGCCCATCTCTGCCCTCTTGCGCCTTGGCCATAGAATTACAGGGAAGGGCTGGGATAAGGAGGAGCACCTCTTCAGCAGCATCTTTCTTCAAGAGCCTAAGCTGGCTTTCCCTGAGGAAGCCAAATCCAAGAGGAGCAGAGCCTCTCTTGCAGTCGTAGGAAAGACCCCATCGCTCTTTCACGGAGAGGTGGGAGGGCGATGCAGCTTCATTTTAGCTCCTGCTGCCTTTCATCCTAGAAGGAGCTACCCTGCTGGACAAGGGTTGGGCTGGAGGAGCAGCTGCTGTTGGGAAGTCTGAATCCTATTGCTGCAGAGCCCCCCCCCACCCCCGCCCCCGGGGAAGGCAAAGTCAGTGAGGGATTTGGGACCGCTGGCAATTGAGGCCTGGGAATGATTAAGCATCTGTTGCAAGGGAGGCCATCTGAGAGGCCCTCTCTGGCAGTGCAGACAGGCTCCAGAAACAGGAGGTGTTGGAATTTTTCTGGCACGAGAAAAAAGGCTCATGGAGTCGGCTGTAACCTTGGCGGGGTCTTGATGGAATATAAATTACTGTGCAGTCAATGTGGCTTAAATTAACAGCGGGCCTGTCCTCTAACCCCCTCCCCTTCCTTCCACCCCGAGCCTGCATGAGCAGGAATGAGCCTGGGATTAAACCTAGGAAAAGCAGCCACAGAAGACCAGCAGAGAGTGGAAGATCTTCCCCATCTGGAGCCCTCTTGGGTATCCCAATTGGTACCAAAGGCCTGGCCTGTTGCGAGCAAGAGCTGTTTTGCAAGATTCCTCCTTTTCAGGAAATCCCTGGTGGGAACCTGACTGAATGCCAGATGAGTGAAGAGATGATTTGGAATCATCTTCTGGCGTTTTAAAATTTAATTTAATTTTTTACTAAGGGAAGGGAGGCAAGGATTCCATACAATGGTGGAAGAATGACATCTTCAGATCTCTCCCCTTTTCTTTTTTGCAGCTCCAGAGCTCTGTTGTTGTTTTTTGCTTGGGGGGAGGGAAACAAGAGAGGGGTGTTAAGCCTCTGAGAGCCTTAGCAAACCTTTTGATTGAACCCCTGTAGGCCAAAAAGTCCCATTGAGAAGGTTGAACATTTTGATCCACCGTTGCTAGCATCATTGGGCTACTGCCATGCAATCTGTGGCTTTTGGGGACCTATGTTGTAAAAGAAAAACCACAGCTCCCTACTCTGTGCTTCCAAATGAAAATGTTCTCCCTGCCCCTCCAAATCTGCTTCTTGCCCCATTGCAGAATGGGAGACTTCAGCTTTCTTGAGAGACGTTCATTATGAACATATTATGGGGGAAAGAAACAAAACCTCCCTGCTACGTCAATCAGCAACAATGCTTCAATACTACACTCCCCTCCCAGCTGTTGGTTTCCAAACAGTTAAGGAATTGTGTGTCTGATTTGTGCTAGCTTGTCCTTCAATGACATCATTAGATATGTAAACTGCTGAGCAATTTATTCAAATACTATTTTTCTTTTGATGCTGGAGGAAGGATTATTCTTGGGGGATGGAGGGAGAGAACTAGCGATCTGCTTTTCATTTGATGTGATGCTTTGCCCATTAGTGCTAACGTCTTCCTTTCCATACCAAATGTAAAACTTGTTTGAGCTGTAAGCAGGGACAACAGAAGAAACGTGCTTTGGCAGGTGACATCCAAGGTGTGGGAATATCTGCGATATCCATTTGCCTTTGCTCAATTCATCCAGCTGTTGCTGCTGGCATGGGAGGGAAGGGGCCTCAGAATTCTGTGATCCAGATGTGGAAGCAGCTGAGCCAAGGAGAGCATTCCAGAAGGCAAATAATTTACTCTGTAAAATAATTGGCATTGGACATCTTCCTCTGTTCCCAGCCCTGTGCTGAAGCAGTAGAGTATCTTTCCACATGGTGGAACCTCATAATCTATAGACCTGAAGCCCCAATCTTATTCCCTGCCTTTCCAGCCCTCTTGTGCCATTGTGTAGTGTGGGGACCTGCATCCTTAACATCCACCCTCCATAATTCCTTAATTTTCCCTCTGTTGATTCCATAAGCCATTTTCTAACATCAGCATTTGATTTCAAAGAGGGAAGATGGATATAAGTGGGTTTTCATGGCTCTTCTCCTCTTTGATGCTAGGTGGCCACGCACCTTGGCTGGCATCACTGCTTATCAATCATGCCTCCAGTATCCCTTCACTTCTGGGAACACGGGCTCTAGCCACGAAAAGCAGGCATGGAGGCACTGTGACCGCACAGGCCACTGGGAAGAAGGGGACTATTCACACTGCTTGTACACCAATGATATCACCCGTGTACTCTACACCTTTGTGCTGGTGAGTAGGGGGATAAGGGCTCGTTCCTCCCTGTTCCCATCTGGTTGTCCTTGAGCATTTCACAGCTTCGAGGCAGAACGATTCAGGCTGTGCGGCAAGAAATGCTCGCAAGCCGTGTCCATTTGAGCCAAGATTTGTTTGGTTCTTTCCAAGGAGGAGATAGTTTTCTGGGGTGGCTCAAGTGATCCAGAAAAGTGACAAAGTGAACGTTTTGAAGCACATGGAAAGCTCTTTTCAGCCCTTGCTATTTATAATGAGAATTTGCCCTTAACATACCTGAGATTTAGAGATCCATAGAAATCTGGTCTGTGTCACCCTAGCATACATTGGCTTACTCCTTCCCATGATTTTTTTACACTTTTAGCATGAATATTAAGAGACATTTGTACATATTTTTCCATATACGTAGTTTATTGTTTAAGCCTTCTCATTTAAACCTTGTAATCCACCCCTTCCCCTAGTAATTTTTTGTACAACTTTCCCTAATATGCTACATTTTATACAATTAGCCCATGGATATGTTTCTTATGCAACTTTTCATAAAGCACACTTTTTTGTAAAATCCAGCTTTCCCCAATGTACTATTTTTGGTATGCCTCTTCCCCAATTTTCCACCGTTCAGTACAAACCTTTTGAACCAAGAATGATTAACCCCAACAGATTCCATTCCTCCCGTTTGTCCATCCATCTATAACAGGGGTGGTCCACATGAGATCACAGGATGCATGAGCCCTCTTCTTGCAGCCCTCTGAGTCATGGCCAACCAGAGTTGCCTGGGCTGGCCTGCTCTTCATCGTCACTCCACTGATTACATCCCTTGAACACCCAGAGGATGGCATCTGCATTGGCAGATCCCACCAGTTCTCTCACAATTGGTGGCTATTTTCTTTTATAATTTGTTTCACTGAGATTAGGAGAACTGGCAGAAAATTTGACACAACAGCTAAGCAGGCTTTAAGCCAGATATCTCCCCATTTTATAAATTAAGCATTGTTGGATATTTGTGGGGGGTGCTTAGCTTGCTTTGACTTTTATCCCCTTTTATCTGCTGACAGATGCCCATCAATGCCTCTAATGCACTAACCCTAGCCCACCAGTTGCGGGTCTACACAGCTGAAGCTGCAAATTTCTCAGATATGATGGATGTCATCTATGTGTCTCAGATGATTGAAAAGTTTACAGGTTATGTAGACCAAATCAAACAGGTAAGTGCATCACCTTTGGACCCAACTCCGATGTGCTTATTTTCCCACATTCATGATGGGGAGGAAAGAAAAGGAGAAGGGTCCACATTCTACTTTTTGCTGAATATGTTCAACATACAGAAAATCTAAAGTAGGGATGGGCAGTGTGTGACCATCATCTGATCTTAGAATCTTTCACTAATCCTAACAAGACAGCTTGTATTAAGCACATCTTTGGTATGGAGTGAAATGTTCAGCCACTTGCTTATATCCAAAATCATCTGCTTTCACCCAGCTCACAGACGTCATTGTGGAGATGGCAAGTAACATGATGCTGGTAGATGACCATGTTCTGTGGATGGCTCAGATCGAAGACAAAGCTTGTACCAGCATAGTGCACTCCCTGGAGAAGATTGCCACTTACGCTGTCAGCACCAACTCTCAGCATATGGCTGTGGTAAGGATCCAAGCTCTCCTGGGATGGTGAACTGGGATGGATTGCAGAGTAAGAGGCTAAGCTTGAAGCTTAGGTGTTGGGTACTATTAGTCAAAAATGCCAATTACAGATACAAGTTTTTTGGGGGAAAGGAACTGGGAATCCAAAATGAAAAAAAAACAGGTGAAATGGGAGAAGAATTATGTTGTGGGAAGGATTTTGCATTGGCACTGAGGAATACAAGGGGCAGATTGTATTCTTGGACAGCTGCCAAGACTCAAGTATCCTGCCAGTGCCCTCCATGCTGATGATTGCCTCCACTCCCTCTCAGTTCCTTGTCCAGTTCCTGGAAGCTCCTATCATTTTAAACTTTCCATAGTACCTCAGAGGAGCATATGTAACTACATAACCATAACTCAAAGCTATTAGAAAGAACTTAAAGAGGTAGAGCACTTCATGTGGCTGCTTCTATCAGAAAATCCCATGACCAGGGCAGCAAATATGGGGAGGACATCACACAAAATTGCCATGGCATCTGTCCAGGAACATGGATAGCAGTCAGGTTTAAAGAGCTAGAGGCTTCAGATTAGGACAAAAAGCTAATGGTTGATCAAGCATAGGTGACCCACACGTGATGGCCTGGATCTAGGAGGTTTGCTTGGCTTCACAAAGCTCTTGACTTTGTTTATGCAGAACTCCAGGAACATTGCCTTTGAAGCCTACCTTATCATGCCAGAAAGTTATCTGGGCATGAGCTGCACGGCTTTCCAGAAGCGTGAGACACTCGGTAGCCGTTCTCCGCGACAGGAACGGTACTCTGAGTCCTTGGCAGACCAGCAGCTGAAGTTCCGTTGTGCTACAGGTCGGCCAAATATCTCCTTGGCCAGTTTCCATATTAAGGTGAGATGGGATGGGGAAGAAAGGTTCCTGGTGGACCAGTGTAATAGGATGCAGTAGGCAGAGCAGATATGTGAGAATAATTGGATATAAGAGAATTCTCTCTTTTTCAGACAAAACCTAATTTGTAAGATCCATGATTAGGTTCAAAATAGGTACTGGGGCATGGGGCATTTAGGTGAAGTTTTAAAGGACAAGATTAAATCTGCCTCCTCTTGCCATTTCTCATAAATCCCTCTTCCCTTTCCAATTGCTAACCATCATCTCTTCCCCTCCTTCTTATCTCTGGCATAGCAGCTGGCAGTGGTGTGGTTTACATTGAGGAAATGGCAGGGGAACCTAATTTCATTTCTGCATATGCAGCTTTTCCATTTTGGCAAGCGTCATATATTGCTAGGTTGCTCCTATTGGAATGGAAGGCACAAGAACCAGAGCAGCCTAGAAAACATTAACCAACAACTGAGATGTTATTAATATTGCAACGACAGCTAGCAAAGTTGTATTTCCTAACCAAGCAAGAGGAATGGCACCGGTCTGTTTTTGAAACAGTCCTTGTCCATTTTGCCTGGGTGTGTCAGTACCTTGTTTGTGTATTCAGACCATTTTGGAGGGGAGGACTGGCTGGGCCCCCTCTTTAGCCTCTTTGTTCCTTTTCTCATTAGAACAGCATTGCCCTGGCTTCCATTCAGCTGCCTCTGGGCCTCTTCTCCCCACCAGTTCCCCACCGGCCCATGCCCGTCAAGTGTAAGCTTCAGTTCCTGGTGTTTCGCAACGGCAAGCTCTTCTGCAGCACTGGAAACTCTTCCCACCTCGCCGATGATGGCAAGCGACGCAGCGTGGCCACCCCAGTGATCTACGCAGGCACACGTAAGAGCCCAGTTGCTATGGCAGGGAAGGGCAGGAGAGGCCCCAGCCGACTGCAATATCCTCCAGATATTCTAGACCATACTTTGTGGCTGGTGGGTCCATGGGGAATCTTGGGGCCATGGCATGGAGATGCTCACAAGACAGCTGCTGTGGGATGGTTTGCCCGGGAACAAAGCAGCTCCCAGAGTTAGTGGGGCCAGTCTGGAAATTCTTGTCTACCAAGGGCAACTGGTGGAGATGTTCTCACTTGCTCTTTAATCCCTTAGAATGCTCTCTTCCATCCCTGTGTGCCTTTCTTAGACACGGTTCCTAAAGAAGAACCCATAAGCGCCCCCATTTTTATTTTTAAAAATGCTCTGTGTCCTGTGTGTGACATCCTTGGAAATAAAGATGGTGCTAAAGGGTGGTGCTTTACATTGTTGTTGTTTTTAATCAGAAGAATGAAACTTCATTTGCCTTCCCTAGTCTGAGCAGTAGCTCTGTGGGATCTACCTAAGCAACTCTTGGGGTGCAAGGAAAGGGTCCTGATCCTGAAAAAAAGCAGAGGATCTCCCGCCCCAGCCAGGCACCTTTAAGACAGCAGATCTGGGCAAACAAGCACCTATTGAAGATAACTTGAATTCTGAGGATTGTCCATAGCTGCTTTGCTAAAGCCCTGGTTCTGCCTCCCCCAGACGGCTGTGGAGTAAGCAACCTCACCGAGCCAGTCATCATATCGTTGCGACATTTGGACAAGGGCACAGATCGCACGCCGGCTTTCTGGGACTTCGACGTGCTGGGTGGTTACGGTGGCTGGAGAGCAGAAGGTTGCCAGCCGGTCCTTCAGGAACCCAACTTCACCACTGTGAGCTGCCAACATCTCAGCAACACTGCTGTGCTGATGGTAGGCAGGAGTATGATACTTCAGCCTAATGCCATCCCTATTTAGACCTTGTTTATGTCACATAAATTTCTACCCAATCCTCTTACAAAAAGGCAAAAAATATGACTTTCCCTTATGTCCAGTAGGCATTTCTTATAGATCTTCCATGCACTTTTCCACATACATGCCAGGTTGTGTACAGCTTCCTTCATTCCCAACCTAGGTTAGATCATCTGATATCCTCCAGATATTCTAGACCAGAGCTCCCTTTTTCTTTTGCTGCTGGCCAAACTGGCTGGAGCTAAATAGAACCATAGTCCAAATTATTTCGAATACGCCAAGTTGTCTATTCCTGTTTCAACCTTCCAACCCCACAGATACTTATAAAGACTTGCCATATGCTATTGTAATAATATGTAGTTACAGTAATATTATTTACTAGATTTATATTTTTTCTTTCCTTCAGAACCTCAAGATGGTGTACACACAACTCTCTCCTCCCATTTTTCCCCACAATAACCACCATACAAAGTAGACTCAGTGGCTATACCACATTGGCCATATAACTCCTTTAAACTGCACATGGAATGATTTTTATAGAAGATTGAACGGCAAGCCCCCCCCCCCCAATCTGTTAAGCTTCATCTGGTTGTCTTAATTTTTGTCCCTCCCCCCCCCCCCCACTACTATGCACTAATGAACTGTATTCTCAAATACAGGAACTGACCAATTTCCCGCATGACTCACAGAGTCCAGCTGAAGTGCTACATCCTGTAATTTACAGTTGCACAGCTCTCCTCCTCCTGTGCCTGTTTACCACCATCATCATCTACATCATCAACCACAGGTGAACCATCTCTAGAGCTGAAGGTTGTGGCCTCTTGAAATTCTTCTCCCCATTGCTGAGCAGGTAGCTACAGTACCATGCCACCAAACATCTCCAGAAGAAACCATGTCCCAGGTTTTTCTCAATGGTAGCAGTAGCCCAATTCTGTGTGCTTTGAATAACAGCACCACCACACCACCTGAGTCAAACCCTGGGCTCTCTCATCACCTTATCTTTTAAGTGGAGATGCCATTACATGACTATAGGCCTCTTATCTGCAAAGCTTTATTGTGTGATCCCTTAACTTTCTTATTCCTATTTCTTTTTCAGCACCATTCATATTGCACAGAAGTGCTGGCACATGCTGCTAAATCTCTGCTTTCACATCGCCATGACATCAGCTGTGTTTGCAGGTGGCATTACCCTGACCAACTACACAGCCATATGCCAGGCAGTGAGTATGAGGAGAGGACCTGACCAATTTGGCTTGAAGGTTTTGTCAAATGGCACATCACTGAGAAGTTCTCTTCACACACAGGGAACACTGAGAAATTGCTAAAAATGGCCTCAAGACCACATCAGTGTTCCTTTTGCAATGTGGAAAAATTCTAGCCTCTGCATCATTTTTCCCAATCTAGCATCTTCCACATGGGGTGGACAGCAACTCCCAGAATTCCCAATTACATCAAATGTGCCCCCTGGGAATTCTGAAAATTGATATGTATGCTTTAGCATCCCATTTATCAGTAAATATGTTAATGCAAGACCACTTTGATCATCTTTCTAACTACCTCCAGATGCAGGGGAGATGTTGCCACCTGTTTGCCTGGTAAGGAACAAATAGACAGATGTTCCACCCCTGCAGTATTTACAAACCACCATTTCCATTACTAGACTCATTCTGAACAGGATTATTTTCTTGAGGCATCAGCCCAAAGTTACAAAAGAAACATTACCAGGCACCTGAGGACACTGATTTAAGTGCATGTACGTGCGCACACACGCACACACACAGCCATTAGTTACTTTACCATTAATGCAAAATTGGGAAGTTGATGACCCTCCAGGTGTTTTGAGACTCCCACACCCATCAGGTAAATGGGCCTACTTTAAGGAAAGCCTAAAACCCATGATAAGTTCTTTGAATTTGCCCACCCTTTGAACAACATTGATCTCTCACCAGACATGTAGGGGATGGACAATCCCACAAATGAAGTGCTGGGAGTTACAGCAACTCTTACTGTCTTCCAATATGTCTGTTCTCCCACATCCCTTCCCCTCCCCAGGTTGGTATCATTCTTCATTATTCTTCCTTGTCTACTCTACTGTGGATGGCAGTAATGGCACGAGTGATCTACAAGGCGTCCACCTGGAAAGCCCCCCAACAGCAGGAAGGGGAACCATCTCAGCCTGCCCCACGTCCAATGCTACGGTATCAAGGAAGTAGGAATTATAGGACTTGTTGGGAGCGACCTGAAGGTTGCAGGGGTCAGGGGGTGGATGAGGTTTGCCATAGTTAATCTACAAAAGAAGCCCCATTTAAATGGGCATAGGTAGACAGTGACTATGTCTGGTGGGAACTTAACCATTGTTTGATTCTTTGAATCTGGCTGTAACAGTGAATTTACAATTCAGTGAATTTAATTTACAATTAAACAGTGGGTTTAAATTTCTTTTCTTTCTTTCTCAAAATTTATAAGTTGTTCTGATCCTGAGATTCTGGGCAGAAAACAAGAGAAAATTAGCAATTACATGAACAAAATATACAATTAGTATACAAAAACAAGAACAAAATTAGTACAATCAATTTTCTGTGATGGTTTCCACACTCAGCTCATACCAAAACCACAATGAAACAGGACCAATTTAACTTCCTTGCAAAATGCAAGGAGGGTTATGTAAATACAGCTGTTATTTGTTAATTCAAGATCAGCATGCTGTATGAACCTAACCTATGATTACTGTATCCAGTTTAGGACTTGGTTCTTGTATCTCCAATTATTCTTTCTACTCTCAGAAATGGTGGCTTAATTCCTTTTTATCGTTGCACCACAAAATACCTTGTGGAATGTTTTCCATGTTCATAGGATGAATTCTGCATGATATTATTTTCTGGTTTTCTTTCCAGGTTCTACCTGATTGCTGGTGGGATCCCCCTGATCATTTGTGGGATTACAGCGGCAGTCCGTATTGACAATTATGGAGATCAGGACTCATAGTAAGTAACTGCAACATCCAATTTGCAGGTACATGATTATGACCCTACTTGCACATTGATTGATTATGGTTCATCAAGTTGGTAATGATACTTAACAGCCATATACTGTAGATAGACCTTCTCAAGGATGATCTGTCCCCAACTTTGTCCTTCAGATCTTCCAACAGTGTGCCCATTACTGCTGTAATCGAATCCATCCAGCTTGCTGCTAATCCACTGTATCTACTTGCACATATACATCCAATTGCATAAATGGATCCCAAAAACTGGAAAAAATCACCAGTGCTGTTTCAAAGTTTTTGAAGGTCTCTTGGGGATTAAAGATGTTCTTCCTAAGCCTCCCTTCCTTGCCCTTATAAATCCTGTCTAATCCTTTCCTTCAGGCGCCATCTTACCACATCTCAGAAAGGACAAGGTGTGCACTAACAGGCATTCTATGAAATAGGTTATCTGATTAGAGACATTTGGTTGAACTGTTTTGGCTATGAGCCACCAATAGATTTCCCCCTCCTGCACAGGCCATCTGTAGACTCCTTTTGTCTGCCTCAAAGACCCCAGACTCCCTTTGTCTGCCTTAAAGTTGAGGTAACCAAGAGAATGTATGTTTGTCTTGAAGAGCAGGAGCAAAGTAGTTGCTGCTTTGTAGCCATTCAAAACTTTGCCAATCTTGTGGAGTCCTTGGGGTTCTCTGAGCTTGATTATTTTGTTGCAGACATTTCATTACCCACCTAGGTAACATCTTCAGTGCTAGAAGGGAGTGGGGTTTATATACAGTAGCTTGCCCTGTGAGTATTGGTGGGGGAGTTGTTTTCTCCTTGGTAGTTCCTTGATTAGGCTGTTTACTGCTTGATTGTCTGTCTGAACTGGTAGTTCTTTGATTAGGGTATTGTTTACTGCTTGATTGTCTGTCTGGTGTTGATCCTTTGAAAAAGGATTTGCCAACCTTTTCTCTCTCCACCCAGCTGCTGGCTGGCTTGCCGACCAAGCATTGGAGCGTTCTATGTGCCTGCAGCTTTCATTCTGCTCATCACCTGGATTTACTTCCTATGTGCTGGAATCAGTCTGCAGTGCCAAGCTAAGGATCCCAAAGAAACACCCAAGCCCTTGGAAACACGGCAGCGCTTGGGAGGCAGTAGCAACCTGTTGACCGATTCAGGGTCACTTTCGGTCACACTGAATTCCAGCCCCCACACTGCTGATGTTGATGGTGTGTATTCCCTAGGGGTGCAGCTCTGGGCCCTTGTCATCACCCATTTCCTATACCTCACTCTGTGGACATTTGGAGCAATGGCAGTATCTCAGCGCTGGTTCCTCCTGAAGGTTGTCTTCAGTTGCCTCTATGGAGTCACTGCTGGAGCATTAGGGTTCTTCATCTTTATCTACCACTGTGCCCGACGCAGAGATGTACAAAGTTCATGGTTTACCTGCTGCCCATCTTACAGGAATGCTTTACCTATGCAGGCTTATGGGCACACTGGAGTGGGTGTTGAGGATGGCTCACAGGTCTTCATTGGCTGCAGCCCAGAAGTAGCGCACTCCATTAAGTCTTCATCTTCCCCTACCAGCACAATTTCAGCTCCGGGGCCCTGCAAGCTCAACAATTTGCAAGTGGCCCTTGGCCAGACAGACAGTAACCCTGTAACAGCTGCCTGCTATGAGGATGCAGAGCCATCCAACAGTAAGAGTACCCCCCCAACCAGGTATACGAACAATCTCCATGGGCGCACCAGGCATCATAAAAGCAGAACTAAACTGTACCGAGAAGGGAAGCATCAGCGCCTAAAGTCAATGCGGGGACCTTCCTCAGAGCATCCTACTAGTGAGAGTGGGAGCCTTCAGAACAGTCATTCAGAGAGTTACCAAAGCAGCCGGAATAGCCCTCTGAACAACCGGAACCAAGGGATAGTTCTGACCCTGGAGTCGGCCCTGACACAGTCCGACTTGAGCGATGGCAGTGGTGGTCCCCAGGCTGCAGACTTTGGCCGAGGCCAGAGGAGAAGTGCCAGCAGAGACAACCTTAAGCATCAGACCAACACCCCCGTAGAAAGAGAGACTAAGAGGCGCTCCTTCCCACTCAATGCAGCCAATCAGAATGGGGTCCTGAAGGGCAGCAAGTATGACATAAATCTCAGTGGTGCTGACAATGCAGGCAGCATGAAAACAGGTCTCTGGAAGAGTGAGACAACAGTGTAGGAAAGGGTCAAAGGCCCCTGCAGCTAGGATCCTAGAGCAACACCAACTCAGGTAAGAAGCTGCAGGTTACCCTTGTTGCTAGAGCCTGCCAAACTCACTGAAGAGGACATTATTATGCACTATATAGGCTTGGATAGTATGAGATGGGTAGGCAAAAACCATGCTCCCTGCCGGTCCTTCTGAGTGGATGGAGCAGGGAGACTGTTTTGACCTGTCCTGGGAACCACAGCACATTTCACTTATATATCAGGTGAAGTTGCTGTTCTTTGTGCCAGGGAACATTCTTCTCCAAAGGATGGGCAGAAAGCCACCATCACCCAAGGTGCCAAAGTTGCAAAGCGAGAGACAATCATCTGTTCTTGTGATTGAACGGTCTCCCTTCTTCATGTCGCTTGAGATCCTTGATATTTTTGTATAACATACCAAGGAAGGCGGTGATCTATAAGCTAAAATTTTTAATATACTGTGTACATATGTATAGGCAAAATTGCTATCCAATGGAAAGTTCCTGCATGCTTTACACTAAATAACTCATGTTGTGTAAGAGGAGGGCAGCTCTCCCCTGCCATTCAAAGCCTATGCACGTACCTAGCTTTGGTTTGTTTTTGATAAATCTAGTAAGTGATTGTGGAATTGTCAAGGAAAAAGCAGATTGAAAGAGATGCACTATTAAATGTTACCATCTGAAGGCGCATGCTTGGATGACAATCTTTAGTCTTCTTCAGTCTTCCTTAAGGGAAGACTTGGGGAGAATATGATCCGTTGGGCATCACTACCCAAAGATGCTTAACGGTAGAGGTATGCAAAACATTTAGAGCTCAGAACAGCTGTTCATGTTTGGAGTGGCTTGTTCTGATTTTACCAGAATGCTGCTCTAGAAGAGTTTTCAATTCAAAAGAGAAGTTTCAAAGTTGAAACACTTCTGGAGCAAAATAATTCAGGTAAGGTCAGAACAGTTGTTCTGAGCTTGAGATGTTTTGCTGAGTCTACTTAATAGCACTTTCAGGCAGAAGCTATCAACAAGTCCACCTTCCAAGTCACTGGAGAGGAATGGGATATTACCGGTTTGTGCTCCCATGGCCAAGGCTCTTGGGGCATATTTGCCACACAGCTGGTAAACAGTCCTGAAGGCTTACTTCCAACTTCGAATGTGGGGAAGGGAACACACTAAGCAAATGCTGAGACAGCTCTACCCATTTCAAAGTTGGGTCCCTCCTCACATGAAACCCGACTATAGGCATGATGCAGCTAACATGCCACATAGAAGCCTCTGAAAAACATGAGGCTGCTGAGCTGTTTAATTGGCAAGAAGTCATTAAAAAAATGTAGAACTTAATTTTATAGTCCTTTCCAGGGATAAGGAAAGCCCAGTGCTCACAAAAGAATGGGATATTATACTGTTAATAGATTAAAAATGGCAACAGATCTATTACGGGCATTTATAAGAACTGCAAATGACAGCCCACACCTTAAAACATGGATTCTCTCTCCTGTACAAGAGAGATTTTCCTCTGCCTAAAAATAAAGCAGTGTGCTTGCTTCAGAAAGTTTTTTTGCCCATGCACACATCAATTATTTTATTAAAACTGATCTGTTTAGTTAACCATATTTTTTTTAAAGAAGGCCCATAACCCCAAGGAAAGCACATGTATTCAGCCATCAGAAAAATAATAATAAAATAACTCACTATGGAACTTTAAAATAGAGCAAAATTGCCAAGGAAAAGGCCTCAGAGGCTTGAATGACATTAGTCCTTTAAGGATTCGGGAAGCTATGAAATATTGTTTTTAAGCACCTTTGGGACATTCCCTTTTTATAGATATCTATATGTATATGTGACATACATGAAAAAAGGCCTCTTTGCAATAACTGTTTCACTGAATTGTGTACCAATCACCAGACTGAAGTAGGGTTGAATCTGTTGTGTCAAAAATGAGTTGAATGAAGGCATTGTGATTCTTTCTGAAAGGCAGCTTCGGAAAGAATCAGTCTTATTTGGAATCTTTGGAAAGAATCAGTCTTATTATCCTCTTTGCTGGCCATTTAATTACTCCGTGCCCAGTGGTATAAGACCACGTCTTACATACCATGTTGCCCATTCAAGAATAAACCCCTCCTGTAGATATGAAAAGCTCAATCAAAAAAAAAAATGATTTCCTAGTCTGATTGATGACAGTTCCCAAGTATGCAGCACTGCATCTATAATGTTACCAGTTGAGGAAAGATCAGAATATGAAACAAATGAGAAGGAGATTCATTCTTAAGTTAATGAATCACACCTCTGCTCCAGGTACCTCAGCACAGTATTCACAGCACCGCCTATAGGCATCTTCCTCAGCAACTTCCAGACTTCCTATTCCACTTTTTAAAATTAAAACAATATTTTAAAGTTAAACAGGAAGCTGGTATGCTGCAGGGAAAACTGCCACCTTTTGTCATGTTCTTTATTTCCAGAAGTGCCTCTAGCCAGGCACGGTCCTCACAGAAGAAGACAACAGCAGTGGCTACAGTCCAATGCTTTGAAAGTGTGGCCACCTTTTCAGAAAAAGAAGAAAATCTGAGCAAATAGCTGGATAGAAATCCTTGCTCATTTTATTCCTGGTAAATGACCGTTTCAAACTAGCCTTACCACCATGGCAGCCGTTCTGAGAATACACAAACGTGCCATTGACAGCCATTTTGTGAGGTTCTCATATTTTCAGCACTTCAAATCTGCCCAAAGGTTGAGGGATTCCTGCCTTGGCTTAATGGGAATTATGATTATGTCTAGCTTTTTTTTTTTTTTTTTTTAAAGAAAACAAGAGACAAAAAGAAATCTAATCCCAAAAGGACATTACCCCTTTCTTTGGAGGAATTGGTGAACATACTAAATGGTAACAGTACAGGTCAACAAATTCCTTCTTCTACAACAGCTGTGATATCCTCTTTCATTCCTGGCTTCCTTAAAACAAAAGTCTATAGAAAGATGATTCTGCTCTGAGATTCTGTTAGTTGAAGTTCAGTGTTTCTAGAGGGTACCAGGCCAGGAAAGGTTAAATTAATTTTCCCCCAATCCACTTGGTCTTAAACATCTAGCTCTTTCGCTCCCTCCTTCTGTATTTTTTTAAATGTCACAAATATAGCAGCATCCACACACCCATTAATGTTGATTTCAGTTAGGTTATTTGGTTATTTTTTTATGTATTGCAAAAATCCAGAGAATTGAATACTTCAATAATGAAGTTAAGCATGTTGTGTCAACACAGCTATAATCAAACAAACCTTCCCGTATGTAAAAAGCTGGTGCTTTTTTTTACAAAAGAACTAGTTCTAAAGTACACTTACTTGTTCTTGATAGCATGAACCACATAACAAGGGTTTGGCCTATGAAATAGGGCATATCATATTTGTTTATACAATGCACTCTGGAGACTTTTCTGTTCATGTCAGAGAGATAACATCAGTTCATTGGAATTAAAAGGAACAACAACAGCAAAAAAGATTACTGATGAACAGCTGAACTTCCAAGTTTTTTTGGAAGAATGCATGTTACCCAACTGGGGTAAAAAGGGGAGAGAAATGCATGCTACTCATTTAAAATCAATCCTTCAAAGTAAATTGTACCACTATCTCATGTACTAGCCAACAAAACAGCAAGGAACATTTGGTGGACAATCAAAAGCAAAAGGCTGGGATCGAACAAATACTGCACCCATGTTTAAGAAGAATTTAACAAGGTAACTTGCTACAAATTTCAACCAGGTCTGAGGGATGGCACTGGTTTAAATCCTTTAGTTCTTTAGGATCATTGCCTTATATTGTTTGCAGAGACAAACATGATGAACTTTTTGTTTGGATTTATGAACTAAGATGATACCCGTAGGAGGCTGCTATTAAGAATAGTATAATGGAGGGATGCAAAATTCCTTATTTAAAGCAGAGAATGCAAGACCAAGGTCACAGCACCCAATGTCCCATGGAAAATCATGGCTTTGGCCATTGTTCCTGTAACTCCCAGAAGCCTCCCTTGCAACAGCCCCAGTATTGACCCAGTTTTACTTCCAGGGTTGAACAGAGTTATCTATAGTGAATACATTTGCCCCAAAAGGCGGCACTTGTAACAACATTTTGATCCAAGATGGTAACGTTTCCTTCAGTCGTCCTATGCAAAAATACCACAAATGTCTTCTTTGCCCATTTGTGTTTCTGTGTGTTTATTTTTACTGCTCCATAATGCTTAATTAACTCATTTAAACTGATTTATACCATGTCTGTTTAAAAAGATAAAGGGCAGAAGGGATTGGCAGGCTTTCACAACCCTCCTTGCCTCTAGAAAACCTACCTCCACAGAACTGCAGAGGCTGGGTGGTTTCACAAGCCACCCAGCCTTAGGTCAACCTTGGGAATCACCTAAGACTTCTGAGAGCTGGCGTAGAAAGCCGTAGCCATGAAAAATTATAAAAGCACTTAATCCTTCTCATTTGAAAAAGACAATTTTTCCCATTCTCCTTGGTTTTCATATGTATGTTGCTTAATAAAGCCTTAACTATTTTATATGGCAATATTACAACCCACATGATATTGGCAATGCTGAACGTGTTATATATGCTTGCTAGAATGAAATAATATTATTGGGGAAAACTTTGTGTAACGACCCTTTCTTTTGTTGGTTTACATTTTGAGCAAATGACATATCAAAAACAGCTCTTTGAGACAGCTGTGCCAAAGAAAGCATTTAATACATTTTTGGTGTGTTTGCATTTTATACAAATGAACTGTTTTTAGCAGATGTTTCTTGTTTAATATATTAAAAGAACTGCAATATCCAAAGAACTAGGTATTGCTCTTATGTTCCACCCGTGCTTTGCCAACCCAACCCACACACTTTAATATTTGATCAGTCATAAATCAAACTTGTACTGATTCCAAGCAATGGGAGTCAGTTACATAGCAGTTAAAAGATGGGGGGGGGGGGGGGTGAGCAGCTCTTCAAGCAACTAAATTGGTCATCTCAGATGTTGATCATCTAAAGGGATGGGAGAAAATTAAGGAATCTCCTGCACAGTCTTGATGAACTGCTTCCCCACCTACCTATTAATGAGGGCTAGAAGTGTACAAGTTGTGCACCCATTCAAAAGGTATCTGTCATCCCAGTGGGGCCAGTTCTTCTCCAAACTTTCTACTGTAGCTTTTTTTTTTATAGCAGAAGTCAAACAGGAAAGGTTGTAGGTACTATCCAAACAACAAGGGGAAGAAACACAAGCTGAAGAATAAGATTGTGGAGTTTCACCCATGGGATTTAAAGGGATGTGCTGATTTCATCCCATTTATACATGGGACAATTAGCCTATTTGCATGATGATGTCATGGCACACATGATCTTACTTATTCTTCTTGCCCCCCTGCAGATGACTAGGTATGGGAATCACTCCAATATGGCCTTTTCTACAATACTAATGGAGTCGTTTTCAAAATCAGTCACTGACTGCAAACTCTAAGCCCACTTAACCCATTGAATGTTAAATTAATGTTTACTTTAGTGTTACCAGAGCAATATGGGAAACCTCTACAGTAATATACGAAACAATGTTCTAACTGGAAAAGAGGACAATCCAGTTCAAAACAGAATAATCAAAATAAACCAAGAGCATTTTTGATGCAGATCATTAAACTTCAGTGTAATAAGATTAAATCCAAATAATTCTGATGTCCAGGACTGAAAAAGTGGTGGAAGCACATCAGCGTTAATTTCACCAACACACATCTAGACCAAAAAGCAGCCTTTTAAGAAAACAAAAAATTATTTTTCTTTCAACATCTAGAGAAAGACTTTAGACCAGATGTTCTACCACTGCTTTCCCCAATCTGATACCTTCTACATTTGTTGGTAATGCTAATCCAGGAAACTCCAACCAATGCATATGAAGCAATAGATTGCAGAAGGTTATTAAGATACAGGGTTGTTCTTTTCCTAAAGCTCCTTATCTGAATACCATGCCTTCATCTAAACTCAAGACAGAAATACGTCTAGGACTATGAACTATAAATATAAGAAACTCAACCGATGTTGTCACTGATTGCAGGCTTTTATAGCTCACTAAATAGCTTACTAGCATAGGCGAGCTTGAATTTTGCTGAACAGTTCCCTTTCCTCTGGAGTCCGGATGTATTGTTCTACCTCACTATCTAAAATGGGCTCGTCCCCTGTGATGGTTGGGCCCTCAGGGTCCGGATTGTTGGGTCGGAGCTTCTTTGCTGGGTACAGGATGCAAGGTGGAAGCAACGGTGTCCGCTTCTTCCCAGCAACAGAAGCCTCTTCTGTCAAAGCAACAGTTGCTTTTGTGGGCTGCTGGGCTGATGGTGGTGTGGAGCTCTCTGGCTTGTAGACTTCTGTGGTATCCACCGTACAGAAAGCAGCCCGAAGAAGCACACGGCGATGTTGCAGCAAGTCTCCAATGTACTTGGACACAGTCCTCCGGTCCACTTTGAGCCCTCGCAACCAACCCAGTTGAGAGGCCATCTGAAGGAGGATATTATGCAGTTCCTTCAGTCTTTGGGGGGCTGGCCGTGGCATATCCATGCCAGCAAGCTTACAAAACTGTGTAAGAGTGCAAGGGAGACGATCAACAGGCTGCAAGGACTGCCATGCCAGGAAGGCTGCTGCCATCACAATGGGGATGGGGTGCCGACCAGTCACTAGCCACGTCTCACTGGCAAGCTCCACTATCTGGATTGTCCTTGCCAACAGCTTCTCCTTTTCTTCCAGAAACTTGGCTGGGATGCTGGATGATTCCTGGAAAAACTTAAAACTGAAAGGAACAAAATATATTGGGGGATGGAAAAGCCTACCATGTTTTTGCTTTAATTTTATACAGTTTTGGAAATATTATATGCAATATCTAGGGCTGCAATATTTGATCGTTTAATATATTCAATTAAAACATTTTTGACTGATTTAATACATGGCCCAGATAAACTAGCAAAAGTTTTTTTTAAAAATGCATGCAGATTAACACACATATTTAAGAGCAGCAAAGGGCAAGCATCATCCTAAAAATAATCCACTCTCTTGTCCCGCATAATAGTAGAAATGTATTTCCTAACTAGGCCAGCTACAACATACAAGTACCACAAAAGCAAAGTAATACATTGATTATTTGTTATTCACAGTCAAATTAAAACCAACAGATTAATCTGAGGAAAAACCAAAGTATGAAAACCACCTGAGTTTAATCTGATTAAGTAAATAGAGGCTGTGCCTGCTAATGCTCTGCTGTCAGAGATTCCATGGAATCTGCCCCTTCCTCACAGGTAGGTGTGTTTTTAAAGCAAGAATGTCATTCCCATTTTAAACATTATTTAGAACAGTGCTAGAGCTGGCTTACTTCTCCCCGGGTTGGGATCATGGTTAGCAAGCAAGAAATGTTTGGATATGCCTGTCTAAATCTGCCCATTCCATGTTTCCTGGTCAGAACATATCACACAGCCCATCCAGAATGAATTCAATACAAAATTTCCACTTCAAACATAGACCCCCAACCTCATATACATGCCGCTGAAAACCCCTTAACGAGAGCTTTCTTCCTTCTATTATCCATTCCAAACATCATAAAGGTTCACCCAAAACAGGCAGATGCGGGACTGCATCCAAAGATGCACAGAACAAGTAAGGGCTGCACCTGAAGAATTTATCCAGTTCTACTAATTTAACTACCTAAAACCTAAGTTCACATTTTATATTAGGTATTACAAAACAAGCCAAGAGGACTACACATGCAGCACATTCTCAGAAAGCAGATGTGTTTAACAGAACATCTAGTTGAGTGAGTCCTCTGCAAGTACCTAGGACCTCCAGCAACTCTGAAAAAACTTCAAGTTCACTAGAAGTGTTTTTGAGCCAGCATCAACCACACTCAGCCCTATCTAGCTTCAGCAAAGTTATTATATTGCACCATCAGTCTATAGAGCTCTCCTAGAACCAATATATTGAAGCCTAAATAATAAGAGTTAATTCTATCCCTAAAACATCCATAACTCTTCAGCAACTGCACATCAATGGTTCAGAAATTTACGAGAAAAGAGCATTAAAATATCAACATACCTGTTGAGGTGTGTTTTCACAAGATCAATCAAGCTCAGAGTTGGTACATCCAGTGCTAGTTCCTTCAAGAAACGCAGGTAGGTTCTGGCAAATAGCTCCTTGTCCGCATAAAGTAGCAAGCAGACAGTGCTCATTGTCAGGGGCCAGTTGTGCTGTCGGCAGGTCACAAAAACACAGCAACCTATAATTATCTCCTTCTTCTCCAAGCTGACCAAAGCAAAGCAGGGGCATTTGATTGCCTGTTGGTAATAAGACACAGCTGTATCTTCAAACAGAGAAGGAAGTCGGAGAACTTTGCAGAGATCCCGGACACGCCTAATTCCTGTGGAAGAATACAGTGTAGGTACTTAAGAAAATGTCCATACCATGGCCCTCCAGATATTTCTCGCAAAACTGGCTGGGGCTGTAGTCTTTGAAGGACCAGATATACTCCAATCCTGTTTAATACCAACTTCAGAAATTAATTGCCAGGGTCAACCCTTTTTCAATTATAATGTACTGACTGATATGACCCTTTGTGGCCCTTTATTCTGTGGAATAAAAGGGTATGTGTGTGCATACATTAAAACTGCTGCAGCAATGGGTTTCCTTCTTTGATATCAATTTTACATAGACAATTATAAAACCTGCTTATCCATCAAAAAACCCAGAACCAACCCAAGATCTACTCAGGGATTCAACGAGTTCTTCCAAAAAAACTCAAATGGCAAGTCAACCCTGCCCTTAGCAAGGATACAGATAATTGAAAATACAAGAATGGTTTTGCTTTTAGAAAGGAAAGGTCTTTCCTTTCCTTCACAAATGGGAAATACAGTAATTCCTACAATGCACCAAAAGGTGCTGATTGGTAATGTTAAACATTTACCTCGCTGCAAACAGCGGCTCAGCTGCTCACTTTGACCAGTACTTCGTGAATATGTCACTTCTAGAAACACACACAAAAAAAGAAATGAGAGGGGAAAAGCAATGACAAAAAGCACATCACAATTCACCAAACAACTTTCTTTGGAGCTCACAAAAGTAGACCAATTTGCAAATACTTCAGTGGTGCAGGTTCTCCTCCTGAACCTGATACTCTCTAGATCAGTGTTTTTCAAACTGGGCAACTTTAAGATGTGTGGAGTTCAACTCTCAGAATTCTCCAGCCAGCATTCTGGGAGTTGAAGCTCATACATCTTAAAGTTGCCCAGTTTGAAAAACACTGATCTAGATCTATTTGGCCACAGCACAGCCATTATCTTTGGGGATTATACAAACTAAAATCTTATTACATCTAGGGAGTGGTTGGAAGAGAATCTATACCATCTAAGGATTGATTAAGTTTGAGAATCCAGCCTTACTTCGTTTCTGCAAAGGTGATGATTTCTCTTTAGATATGACTCTTAACAACCCACTGTTATATTCAATTCTAGACATATAAAATGTGAAACTAGCAGTTTACATATATCTAATACTGAGGTATAAAGTAAAAGAAGAATCACTTGCTCTCCTAAGTGAAGCCAAGAGGAATGAATTCAAATAATCGTAAAATTGTTTAAATATTTTCTTTTTCAAAATAAAGCAAACTACCAGTAATAATTAAAATCAAATCTAATCCCAAATCAGTTAAAATTCAGGCAACTGCAATACATTAAGCCAATTATAGAAAGAGAAAAGAAATGTGCAGCACTTGGAATCCAAAGCTGAAAAGGTATTTTCGAATAAGCACGGGCATTCATGCTGCATCTATTGTCACTTCCTTAAAGAAGTTACATCTTTTCCTGGACTTGCATGGTGGCAATTTGGTCCCAGGACAATTCATGCTTGAGTTTGGGCAGTACCAACAGCTCACTTATACCTGGCCTGAAGCTCCTTCTCACACTTGGCCAGCACATATTCTCCTGGATTACACAGCTATTGCACAAGCTTAAGACACAATTCCTTTAAGGAAGCACTATGGTGTGGGATATGCACCCATGCCTGCACCAAAGCACTGCACATCCCTAAAATGGAGCAAAAGCATAATAAAAGTCACAGGAATATTGGGGAAAAAGTCCATAGTGAGGGTGCTACAGAGAAGGCCATTTTTTTCTACAGAAGAGACAGAAGAGCTTCCAGCAATGACCAGAACTAGTAGAATTTCATGGAGGGAAATATGTCCTGAACTCAATCCATTTAGGACTTCGAAAATCATTCTGAATTAAGCTGGAAATAAATTAATACTCAGGATTGGATATAGCTGAAGACTATGCTAAACAGTGCAAGCACATCTAGCCAGACTGCCATTTGAAAATCCAAAATTAATGTGAGGACCTGGTGCATTATCAAACTCCAACCCTGATTTTTTTTGAAGCATTGAGAAATAGTAATGGAAGATAACAGAATTATTTTCTTAAGAACATTTTGAAGAATAGTTTAGAAAAAGTCACATCAGGGATGTTTTCATCTACATAGATCACAGGTACCCCAAACATACTTAAACTTTATGATCCCAGGAGTTTTTAGTTCCATTGTTATTCTTTGATTCACCTTGTAAATGTTCTTCATCAGCAAATGTAGTTGTGAGGAGTCCTTCAGTTAGAATAAAGCCACAATCTGCACACACCAACTGGTTCTGAGTGTAGTGAGAATCCTCCACAATTTCCAGGGAGCCACAATCTGGACACTTTTTTTGACTGGACATTTTAGCAGCCTGAGAACAGAAGTTATAAAATTATTTTGAACTGATGAATGAAAACAAATTAGTATTTGATGAATGTGTTTGCTATATCCATGTCATAATTTTTCCCATATGACACACACAATTCTGCCCCAAACTACCTGCCCAATTTATATTTGTTAGTGGGGCATACCTCAAAATATAATCAGTGGTTGTGATTTTAGCAGACATGCTAGTATTCTGAACTATATTTGAAATCTATAGTTACTGCTGTACTATTGTCAATAATAAAAAATATATTTAGGAGAACTAAAAAGACAAAAGGTAGGACAAAGACAGATTGCTGTATCTACCCCCAAAACTACTGCTTTCATGCACCAGTTGAGTACGCACACATAGGTGCTGTAGTCCCAGCGAGGATGTCTTCGAATGCATTCATGACGTATCGATATAAGTTATTAACATATCTTGGAGTGTCCTCCCCAGTGTCTGTGGCAGGCAAAAACTTTTTGGACGTGAGATTTTACCGCCAGAGGGCAAAGACGGAACCAGAGCCCAAGCCCCTCAGTCAAAGGACCGAAGTGGCCTAAAAACGTTTGCAATCACAACAAAAGCGACCCCCCCCCCCCCCCCCC